GCACCTTGAATGACAATCAGGTAAGCTTCAGGCAGCACCAGCTGCCTGCCTGCCTGCCTTCCTTCCTTCCTTCCTTCCTTCCTTCCTTCCTTCCCTCCCTCCTCTCTTGCCCTCTTGCATCTCTGCCTATTGGAGGCTCACAAGCCTATTTGTTGCAGCGGCCCTGGCTACAAGCTCCCCAGGTGAACGGTGCCTCTGCGGTTGGCCAGGGGCATAAGAGCCAACTCCTAGGTGCCAAGGGGTTTTTGCCCCCCAATAATGTATTTGAGGGGGAGCCCCCAAGTTGATGGGTATTGCCATTCCAATGGTGTGTGTGCACCTCATCACGCGATCAATTATGTGGGTGGGACTTACCTGCTCCCCCTATTTTATTCAGGTAGGCACCCCTGGCCAAGGGGCTCTGATTGCCAGGAGCTAAGGTGGCCTCAGAGAAAGCAAGCAAGCAGCTGAGGGAACAGGCAGACAAGTGGGAGGCCGGGCAGTGAGCTGTCTTGTGCTCACTGCATACAAGGCCTGCCTGGGAGCTGAGCGCCTGACACCAAAGGGGAGTCTCTCTGCCATGCAGGCCCAGCAGCGCCCTCTGCTGCTGCCTCCTGAGGTGAGTAAGCTGACGGCCTCATGTTCAGCCCCCTTTGTCTGTTTCTGTTGGGCCACTAAGACCAGAGGCATCATCTTCCTAGGCCCCCGTGGGACAGCATGAGGAGGCAACTCTCTTTGGGGCAGAGGGTGGCGGCTCAGAGATTAGCAGATGCTGCAGCGTCCACCTTGATGAGAGGGGAGAAGAGGCTGGGGGAACCCTCCACAAGGGAGGTTATCCATAAAGGGGTGAGGAGATGCTGGCTTGGGCAGGCAAGGAGCGACATAACTGGGCTCCTGAGACACTGTAGCCTTTCAGACCTTTCCCATTGGTTGGGTGCGTGTTGCTCCTGGGAGGGAGGAAGGAGTCAATAGACACCGAGGGTTGGTTCAGAGAAAGAGTTTATTTCTGCTTTCCGGATAGCAGAAAGGCACTGTGTGATCAGTCACAGCAAGCACACTTAAAGAGCAGTTACATACAGCTTATATCCCCTTCAGGTCCCCTTTCCCCCTCCCCAGGAATCCAGCCTCATGAGCTTGTACACATAAGTTTACATCCTTGAGCATGAACAGAAATTTCTGTTTCTGTACTCTTATCTTGGGGTAAAAAGGTCACCCAACTATAGGAGTACTCCTGGCGCCATCCCCGGGCGCGGGGGCTGACAGGCCTGTCTTGCAAGGTCTGTGCGTCAGCGTGGTCAGGATAGTTACAACTGATAAGATAAGACCCAGATCCGCCATCCCGTCTCCACTTGGAACTGACAAGGCCATCCATTAAGCCTTCATGGACTGATAAAGGAGAAGGCTTTGTTTATACAGCTGGGTTTGTGTTATACAGCTCAAGCTAATGGATTTTAGCCAATGGATCCTTGAAGAAAGAATTTGGGAATTTTGGGGCCTGGTTCGGGTGACTGCACAGTCAGGTTTGGGTAACCTGTTCCTTCAACACAAAGCACATTTCCCATAGGGGAGTTGCAGAAACAATGAAGTTGGTCAAGAGAGCCATGGACTCAAAAATGTTGAAAACCTCCAGGCTATAGCTTTTGCTAAGACACTGCATTAAGCCTCTCTTGATGTTAAACAGAAAAGCCATTTCTTCTAATCAGCAAGTTGTAAATGGGCACATGATCCATTCACCTGGAGGTATGAAATGGGGTAGTTGATGATGCAGAATAAAGCAGAGGTGTGTCCTACCCATAGAGTTCGGACAACGCTTAAAGAGGCACATCAGCTTGGCCACTGACTTTCCTACAATATGCGAAAGACGTGCTCGACTTGCTTCTAAGAGTGCAAGAAGTGACCTTCCAAGCGACCTTAGCTACCTCATCTTAAGCACGCTGCAGCAGCAAAGTGAAAACCCCTTGCACAACATGAGGAATTCAAGTCTCCTTTGGGTGCCCCATTATAGGACGCAACAAAGCCAATGCTTAAAAACTGATCCACGCAGAGACATTCATTGCTCTGGGTCTAACCACTCAATGACTTGCCACCAAACGGAATACATGAAGTGCTTTAATTGAAAAGCATGGGGCAAAAGGTGTTGCCAGGCGATGTGAGAGTGACTCGCGGTGCTGTATGTTGGATCTGTGGTGATCGTTGCACACGTAGAAGTTATTACCGGTACTTGATGATACAGCAATGATGTGTTGAACGCGCATGTAAAAGCTTCCCTTAAGTCAGTGATGGCCAAACTTGGCCCCCCAGCTGTTTTGGGACTACAACTCCCACCATCCCTGACCACTGGTCCTGTTAGCTAGGGATGGTGGGAGTTGTAGTCCCAAAACAGCTGGAGGGCCAAGTTTGGCCATCACTGCCTTAAGTTGTTCTTAAATGGGATCAACTGAATTTTCGAAGCAGAAATGGGGAACTTCCCTCAGTCCTCCCAAACATACTGGTGTGTTTTTGCTTTTTTATGGCTATCCATAGGCACAATGAGATACTAGCTAATCAGGGATCATATAACGAACAAAAGCAGGCCACACCACTATAAAGGCAGTCAGACTGGCTGCACACTTGTGGGGGAGAGGGAATGTTGCCTGTTGCCAAGTGAATGCAGGGGTTCCTACCCCTCTGAGAGTAAGCAATGAAACCAAGATAGTATGATTCAGAGAGGGAGAGGATGCACCCCCAAGGTAACTGAACACATACCAACTATCTTTCTGCAATTGCTGCAAAGCCCACCCTTTTAGCTCAGCAAATGAAAAGAGAGAGCATCACCTGGTGGCCTAGGCAATACGGGAAGTGCTTCCTCTCACGCCACACACACACACACACACACACACACACACACACACACACAAATACAATGTCTATTGCACTTTGCTCTTCTTTGCTGTCCCTGTGTGCAACCATCACTGGTAGTGGAGCTCCTTTGGCCACAAAGAGGCAACAAACTCCGCGAGGGGACTTCACTTCAGAGCTATCCCCAATTCATTAAAGATTTTAGAGCGTGGAGAAAAATGCAAGGGACAGAATTCTCTGCTAGTAGCCTACACTGTTAAAACTTTATGAAGCATACCAACAAGACCAGGCACCTCTGAGTACAACACTTAAACAACATTAATAAGACTAAAGTTAGAACTCATCTTATGCAGAAGTCTCCAAATATTAAGAACGATTTCCCTGTATTAAGAATAGTACACAAGGCACATTAAAGCACGTCATCAGAAAGATATATGCAGCACAACATAAGTGTATGTAGTTTTGAAAATGAGAAGGATAAAATGTACAGCAGCTACAAGAGTGTGAGGGTTCTTCCAGGCTTGCCATTGCTCTGCTGCTTCCCTCTGGGAAAACCCAGTATTAACCACTGAATCAGCACAAATGTCAATGTTTTCTCTGGAATGACGTTTGCTCCAATTTATCACTAAAGAGCAGGATTTCTGGGGGAAAGCAGCGGGGCAAAGGCAAAACTGCTTGGCCCCATGCTTTCTAGGTATGGGACAAGCACAGGTCTGGCTGAGCCCCGAGTTCGAGATCCCATCTGATGCTGAAAGCATTGTCATACATATGGAAAGATGCCAATGTGAAACAGCTGTTGCAATTTTTTTCAAGCGCGGAAGCCATGGCTAGAATCTTACCTTTCTGCCCCCTGTGTTTATGCGAAGAGGGGTGAGGAAGGGGTCGAATATCATATGGCTGGTTTCTATGTTGACTGGTGATTGCCTTTTCCCAACAGAACAAAGATTCCAGGCGGAATTCACCAGGCCCCAAAATGAAGGAACTGTAACGAAAGAAAAGGGAAGGAAGTTTAAAGAAATGGTTCTGGGAACAGGGCAGAGGAAGTCAATGCAAGCACTACTGATATTGTGCATCCCATACAAACAATCACTGTGAAAAGTTAAAATAAGGAAGGATCAAAAATTAATACAGTGGTACCTCGGGTTACAGACGCTTCAGGTTACAGACGCTTCAGGTTTCAGACTCTGCTAACCCAGAAATAGTACCTCAGGTTAAGAACTTTGCTTCAGGATGAGAACAGAAATTGTGTGGGGGTGGCGCAGCGGCAGAGGGAGGCCCCATTACCTAAAGTGGTGCTTCAGGTTAAGAACAGTTTCAGGTTAAGAACGGACCTTCAGAACGAATTAAGTTCTTAACCCGAGGTACCACTGTAGAATCTTTTAAAGAAGCCAAGAGGTGCAATCTGAACCTCCAATCCTCCACACTAGAGGGTGCTTGGATGGGGTGGGCCTCTGCCACCAAGGAAGCTCCACTGTCAGCGGAAAAGTCCGGCCTGTGAGGAGCCCACCAATGTACCCAAGCAAATGGTGGGCAGGCAGAAGTTATCACTGGTGCCATCATCACAGGGGGTAGCTTGAACTAGATGTTTCAGGGGAAGCGAAAGGGGTTGTTCAGCACAGAATCTGCTAGAGCGGCAATGGCTACAATGCTCCATCAAATCCCTCTGCCGCCAGCCAAGGGTTTGGCTGGCTCCCAATACTCAAGATCCTTCATTGTTTTCTCGAGTGGTGGTTGTTTCTCTCGCTTTCCTTTCCCAGGGTGCCTGTAACTACTACAGACACTGTGGTTATTTGCACTTTAGAAAGCAGGGAACAGCAGAGACCTCTTAGATAATCCCATTCGATTTTGCAGAATGTATCCCCCCCCTAAAGAAAAAGGAACCAGTCCTTTTTGAAGGCAGCTCTGTTTAGGGAAGTTTTTAATGTTTGATCTTTTATTGTGTTTTTAATATCCTATTGGAACCTGCCCAGAGTGGCTGGGGAGACCCGGCCTGATGGGCAGGGTATAAATATATTATTATTATTATTATTATTATTATTATTATTATTATTATTCCGGTGCAGACAGTACAGAAGGCACACCCTGAAATTAAAAAAAATACTTAATGCTGTTTTGTTAGCTACTAAGTAACAGGTTGCCTTGTACACTTTGCATACCAGCCAGTGAAACAGCCATTACATGAAGCCTGGATAGCTTAGCTAGTTAGAGTGCGGTGCTAATAACACCAAGGTCGCAGGTTCGATCCCCATTTGGGACAAGCTGCATATTCCTGCATTGCAGGGGGTTGGACTAGATGATCCTAAGGGTCCCTTCCAACCCTACAATTCTATGATTCTGTGTTCAGAAAGAGGTCTCCTAATGACTGTGGCTGTAGCAATCTGCCCTGACAGGTAACATGCACACGTATTCATCATTGTCAATGTTGCCATGATGTCACTGAGGGGGCTGGAAGGGTGCTGGAAGGGTGCTGGTTGCTATTATTTATTTCATAGATTTCTTTCTCTTTTCCAACTATAGTCCTCGTAGGGCAGGCTTCCTCAGCCTCGGCCCTCCCAATGTGTTGAGACTACAACTCCCAGCATCCCTGACCTGCTAGCTAGGGATCATGGGAGTTGTAGGCCAAAAATATCTGGAGGGCCGAGGCTGAGGAAGCCTGTCATAGGGGCTCACATTGATAAGCATTCAATGATACACCTTTAAAAACACAAAAATGGGGGAAAGCTGGGGCAGGGAGATCAGTAGGACTTGTGTAAGAACTTGCAGTTGATGCTTATTTCTACTGGACAATTGGTCTTACAAAGGTCCTGGTGGAAGAAGAGACTGTCTGGCTGAAATATTCATTTATTAGATTTGACAGCTGCCCTGACAGTCACCCTGAAGCTCTGTATAAGGTGGTTCCTGGTTTACCGGACCTATTATGCCCAGTCTCTGCAATAACCTCTTGAGGCTGCCATGCTGATTATTTGTATCTCCTCCTCAACTGTCATCTATGTGATCAGTGCCTGTGATTGTAGAAGGGGCCTGAAGCTAACATTTCAGCTACAGAAGGCTACTTTCAAGCAAGAGCTTTGGCATAGTAGGCACAAACAACTTAGGACACGTTATGTCAAGCTAACCTTTGACATAGTCAAACGATAAATCCAACAGGGGGATTTTCAAAGGACAAGGGGCGGGAGGAAGGGTATTCTGCTGAGCCTTCAGTTTGCTGTGTGCATCTCCCCCACAGATAAATTCATCTGCTCCGTTCTTCCACTTGCACTCATAATGCCTGAAAATTTAATTTCCAGCTTCACTTCCTTTCCCTTGTGTTGCTGCGCTGAGCCTTCTGTCTCTCTCTCTTCCCTCCCGATGACAGAAGCAGCAGGTGAGCAGAGGGATTGTCGCGGTGTTTGCTGAAGAAGCAGAGATCCAACAAAGGTGGCTGTGTCACTAGCGCTGAACATCAGTCTGTGGCTTAAAGGATATCATGGATCTCATGGAAAAAGCTGGAGGTGTTAAAAATGACCGCGCAGATTTGCCACTCCCATGTCCTCAGACACGCTTCAAAGTGTTCATAAACTAATCTGAAAACATGTCTGATTATCATAGCTGAGGTCCAGTCCCCATCATCTTCAGTTAAAACGATTTCAAGCTGGCTTCTGAGATTTATGGGTTACCATAGTTTTCTAATTATGTGTTGGAAGCTGCCCTAATTTTACAAATGGAGGCAGAATATGCATTTTTAGACAAAGAGATGGGTTGCTCTACCAGGTGCTTTATTTATATTCACACACTTAAACTTTTGCAATCCTAAGCAGGTAAGCAAAACAGGAGGTTGAATAGTGGCTGGGGATAGAGAAATCCGTCAGTTTCTATTTTTTCCAAGCTCAAGTTGAGTTCTCCACATTTCCACATCAGTTTGCAACTTTTTTTTTAAGAAGTCTGCATAAAAAAAATGCATTTTAGTGTGACGTTCTCCTAATATAGGCATTTTTGCATAGCAATTTCCCCTAATATAATGCATTCTCAGTAACATGCACATTTCCCCCCTCACACTTTAGGCCAGCATATGCATTTTTTGGTACACTTTGCTTGGTTGGAAAATGGCCCTGCAATATTTGGGGAGTTTGGCAGGTGTGGTGGCAGCGCCAATCTGAGCTTTGCCCCTCCCACACTACCCATTACTGGTTAGATTCTCCCCCCCCCCTTCCTCCCTGAGCAGGATGTAGAGTGGGCAAGAAACTGGAAGATTGCTTATTTAGTTTATCATGCTAATGTTCAACACAGGAAATGGTAGCCCAGCAAATAATGTGACTGGATGGCAGTTCATACATTATTACAATGATACCTCGGTTCTCAAATGCCATGGTACTCAAACAACTTGGAACCCAAACACTGCAAACCCGGAAGTAAGTGTTCCGGTTTGCGAACCTTTTTCAGAAGCCAAACGTGCTCCGTTTTGAGTGGTACGCTTAGGATTTGAGTGCCACACTTCCGTTTTGAGTGTTATGCTGAGGTCTGTTTTTGCTATTTATGTTATGTTTTTGTTTTTGCGGCTCTTTTTGTTCTGTTTTTGTGACTGTGTGGAACCCAGTTCAGCTACTGCTTGCTTGATTGTGTGACTGCAGTACATTGTTTATTGCTTTCATTTTATGGCTCAATGGTCTTGTCAGATAGTAAAATTCATGCATTTATAAATGCTGGAAATGTAAAGAAACTGAAGGTACATTCTTTCACCTTTGGTGGACGTGCCCAAGGATTAAGGTTTTCTGGGAAATGATATATAATGAACTGAAAAAGGTATTTAAATATACCTTCTTGAAGAAACCAGAGGCCTTTCTTCTGGGCATTGTCGGCCAATTGGTGCCAAAGAAGGACAGAACTTTGTTTATGTATGCTACAACAGCAGCAAGAATACTCATCTCAAAGTATTGGAAGACACAAGATCTACCCACTTTGGAAGAATGGCAGATGAAGGTGATAGACTATATGGAATTGGCAGAAATGACTGGCAGAATCCGAGACCAGGGAGAAGAGTCGGTGGAAGAAGATTGGAAGAAATTGAAAGACTATTTACAGAAACATTGTAAAATTAATGAATGATAGAATGATGTTGGATAGTAATTAAGCGGTTTCCAGCTGTAATGCTCTAAGAGAATATGAAAAAAGGGTTATAAATGGGTTAAAATCTAAGGGTAAAGATTTGCTGAACCAATAAATTGAAGTGGAATACAAAAAAGGGAGGTACGAGGAGGTCTGGGAAACAAGCTAAAGGAAAATAAGTAATAGAAAATATGTGTGTTTTTTAACTGTTTTTATTTTGTATTTTTCTATTTTCTTTTTTCATTTTTACTGTAATATTTTAAAAAACCTTAATAAATATCTTATAAAAAATAAAAATAAAATTCATGTTCGATTGCAGTTCTGGGGGTTGTTTTTAAAAGTCTGAAACGGATTAATCCATTTTGTATTACTTTCTATGGGAAAGCGTGCCTTGGTTTTGGAATGCTTTGGTTTTGGAACGGACTTCCAGAACGGATTAAGTTTGAGAACCAAGGTGCCACTGTAAAGGTAAAAGGTAAAGGACCACTGGATGGTTAAGTCCAGTGAAAGGTGATTATGGGCTGCAATGCTCATCTGGCTTTCAGGCCAAGGGAGCTGGCGTTTGTCCACAGACAGTTTTCGGGTCACGTGGTCAGCATGACTGAACCGCTTCTGGCACAACAGAACACCGTGATGTAAGACAGAGCACACGGAAACACCGTTTATCTTCCTGTCGCATTAGTACCTATTTATCTACTTGTATTGGCGTGCTTTCGAACTGCTAGGTTGGCAGGAGACAGAACAAAGGGAGCTCACCCCAGCGCTGGGATTCGAACCGCCAACCTTCTGATTGGCAAGCCCAAGAGGCTCAGTGGTTTAGACCACAGCGCCACATATAAAGACAAATTTTCTTCCACATGAATGTGAATCTTCCACACAAAATACCAGCTGCATGCCATCAGGCTAGATATTACTTATTCTACATGGCTTCAATCCCAGGCCCACTCAATGCTTCTCATGCACTAACAAGCATATTCAGTCTAGACAGAGGCCCTCTGTAGACTATGAGTGGTTGGGATGCATTATGGATGCTTAGTATGATCTAGGCAGTCCGATTAAAAGCAATGTGACTCACGTTAGGTGCAATGAACTTCTTTCATCAGCTCCAATGGGCTGTGAAGTTCTTGTTTACTCATAAATAACTCTTACTGATTTCGTTGGGTTTTCCTCCCAAGTAGCTGTTCAGAGGCTTGCAGCTGAGGCCACAACTAGCCTTCAGCTGCATTTCAGTCAGCAAATTCCACCCAACGCTTTCAACACGCAGGTGACAGAGACAGGACCTTTCCCACTATATAGCACTAATGCAAAACACATTAGCGTGAATAGCTGGCAAATGGGATGTGTAACATCAAAGAGGTGAGTGAAGCATTCACATTTGAAAGGCCTTCACTGTTTCCATCTCTCTACAAACACCGGAGAAATGCGTATGGTAGTAAGATTAAAGAACAGGAAATTTGACATTTTGTACAGTCCACTCGCCAACAGAAGATATTCAGTTCTGATCACTATTAATACAAGAAAGAGGTGAAGGAGGAAAAGAAAACCTTTCAAAAATACTCGGATTGGCACAGAATAACCAAACCACACACCTCAGCTCATTACAAACTTGCACCAATCATGTGGTGGTTGCTTCTTCACTGGGCATTCAAACTGTAATCCTCCAGACCTCCTGGATAAAATTCAGAATGGGTCTTGATAACATCAGAGGGAGTATGGCAAAGATCAAGTCATCTCCAACCCTGCACTTAGCAGAGGACAGTACAGTGTAGAAAGTTCACTCATGCCCTAAAGAGCCAGGCCTCACAGAAACTGTTGTGCAAGTCTCATTATGCCTTAGTATCTTGGGTGCATCATGAACTTTGAGCAGCGTATATGGCCTCCAAACAACAGACCCTCACCACTCCCCTACTCCCGCCCCGATCAGTTGGAGGTAGTGGGAATGGCTGGGAGCATCCTTTTTCCATGTCTGAGGTCTCAGGCGCTACAGTTGCTAAGGCAAAATGTATGGTGCATCCAAGGGACCTGGACATTATAGCAGCTATATTCCCTATGTTCTTGAACAAGCTGCTAGAATCTCTGTGTATATGTGTGCATATTCTCATATATATATGTATGTAGGTATATATGTATGTATGTGTGTGTGCGCACGCGCGGTGGTTTTTTCTAAAAAATGTT